ATAACTTCCAGAGGCTACACAGAAAAAAAGAACAATGAAATTTAGTGCATCAAAACTTACAATAAACGACCACACCAAAAAAGGCACCATTTCAGAAAATGGGAGTCCACATGTTCTTCTTATTAAACAAAAATGAGTAAAATTAAATAATATTTAAACACCTCAAAAAATTAGAAAATGAGCAGTCAAATTTAAGGAAAATAGGAAAAAACTAACTAATGTAAGAGGTAAATAAGCAACTACAAGTTGAAAATCTATAGACAATTATAAAAGCTAAGAACTAGTCCTTTTAAAAAGACTAAAAAATATATAAAATGCTGGTAAATTAACCAAATAATAAAGAACTAGAGCATTAATATAATTTATAGATCTATAAAAATTTAAAAATAGATAACTTACATAACTATATTAATAATGATAAAGATTTAAACTATATATACTATTTTGTAGAAAATATAAGTTAGTAAAATGGACTCTAAAATAATTAATGTCTATATCACTAATTTATTTATCTTAATGACTTGGAGAAGTAATAAAAAATCATATATTTTTTAAGGCTCCTGTCCAGATAGTTTTATAGGTGACTTCTTCTAAACCTCTGAGAAAGAATGAATGTGAAAACCCTAAGAAGGAAACATTCAGCTAATATAAGCCTAATAGCAAAATCTGACAGAAGATAAAAGCTGTAGTTGTATCCCAATTATGATAAACAGTGTAAACATTCTAAATGAGATATTAGAAAATGTAATATGACATGATTTTAACATACCATGATTGAGAAGAAATTATACCAGTATTGAGAAGAAATTATACCACAAAATATGAATGGTTTAAGGTTAGAAAACTTATGAAGTAGTGCATAGCAACCATGGACAAAGGAAGAAAATCTATATAAATATTGATTGGTCTTTGATGGTAGGGAGTGACAAGTTACTGTCATTGTCCTGCTCACTACTCCTCCTGGTTCTGAACCAATTGAAATGTAGATGAAGGACTCAAGCAGATGGCAATTACAAAAATAGCTGTACAACTGTTTGAGCTGTAACTAGTTCAAAAATAAAATGAAAAATTTTGTGGTTTATGGTTATTCTTTCAATAAGATCTTCTACTCTGTGGTCCTTCAACTTCCTTTTCTTTGATCAATAACTTCAGTTTCCTGAATCTTAATACTTATTTTGGGTAAACTGCTAATAGACAGCAAATTGTGGGCCAGCCTCCATACTCTGTGCAGGTTCACTGTATGGCCAGTTCAGAACCAGCTCCTCAGAAGGAGTGTCTGCATGTGTTCCTGGGAGCACCAGACATTCCGGAACAGACTGTAGGACATGGACTATGATTTATTTTGTAAACATTAATAATTAACCTTTCTTAAACTTGTTTTCTTTAACATGTTTACTGTGTAAGAAAGCACATGACTTGGTGAGTTTTTAGCAAAAACACAATTTCCTAATCAATGCCACAGAGATGCTTTCTGGCCTATTTCTACCCAATTCTAAATTATATGTTGATTGTGTACAATGGATGGTTAGTAAGGAATAGGGGAGAAAATTAGATGTTATTCTAAATAGCTCATACTTGATTTAGTGTCATGCTGTTCCTCTTTTTTGTAATTAGCTGTCCTATGGCCTTACAGCTCAAAGTGTCTTCTGGAGACCAGCAATGTCAGCATCACCTGGGACCTTGCTAGAAATGCCCCACCCCAGCCTCACTGAATCAGAATCTGCATGTGTTAGGATGAAAATAGCATAAAAGTTTGAAAAATATAGATGCTGAGTTTCCACAGTGATTCTACTGAATCAGAATAGTTGGGAGTTGCACACATGTGCAATTTTTAAAAACCTCCACAAGTCAACTTCTCATGTGCATCTAAGAAAACAGCATAATAAATAGTGACATATGCTTTCAGGGTGAATTGTCACAAGTAGGCATTTAGTTAATATGCTGGAAATTTTTCAGTGACCAAGGCAACAGATTTGGGGATTAACTCAAGTTTACAGACTTGTATCACTTTCTTAAGCTATAAATAACTTGTTATTGATAAAAATAATTTAATCCAGAGAATATTTATGATAATTATCCTTAACTGTGTGAAAAACATTAAAACATCATTAGAATGTTTGATTCTGGGTTAAGTCATGTTGATAGCAAGAGTTCTTTCTGAAACGTTCATATTTCTGCTAGATGGTATAGGATGGCTAAAATCGTTCTGTACTTTCACATTTGAATTGCCTCCACTAAACACTTAGCATTTGCAGTTTGCCAGAATAGTAGTGGCTCCTCGGTTCTTACTTTATTTAGTGTGACAACAAGAGAATAAAGACTATAGACATAAATCTTAGTGGCTTTTTGTTTTTTCCTTAACGTAAGTGACCTTTTATATTAATAGAAACAAAATAAGAGTGGCAACAATTTCTACTTGATTACATCTGTTATCATCTGGCTGAGAATCTATTTAGACCAAAACCCAAGCCCGCCAGATCAGAGTTCTGTTTTTGTTTTGTTTTCTTTTGGTTTTTCTTCCTAAAAAGCTATATTCTGTGATGGTACATTGTGTTTTCTCAAGGAGAGACAGTCTAGGGCTGATTGTTGATTTCATAACTAGTTTTTCATTTCTATGGTGAATTGTTTTGTTTTGCCCATTTTTTTCTTTGTCAATTATTACTAGTTCTAATCTGGAAAAAGATAATTGCTACCTTCAAGATTGCATGTAATACCCTAAGGACTAAAGAACTGATCTTATTTAAAAGTTGCTTTTTTAAACTCAATTTTTATTGAATCATAACTGTATACATTTATGGGGTCCAAATGATAATTTGATATACAATGAGGAATGCTTAAGTCAAACTAATTAACATAAGTAACATCACCTCACTTACTTATTTTTGTGGTAAGACATTTATAATATACTCTTAGTTGTTTTGAAATGTACCCTTGCATTGTGTACATTATGCGAGGTCCCACCAAATACCCCCCTTCCATTCTCCCTCCCCTCCCTCTCTTTCTTCTCCCCTCTTTCTTTCTAGACTGTCTTTGTGTTTTATCATTTGTATGAATGTGTGTTTATATATTGGTTTCATCATAGTATAGTATTAAGTACACTGGATACTGATACTTTTTTTTCTATTCTTGAGATACTTTACTAAGAAGAATATGTTCTAGCTCTATCCAGGTAAATATAAAAGATGTAAAGTCTCCCTCTTTTTTATGGCTGCATCGTATTCCATGGTATACATATACCTCAATTTGTTAATCCGTTCATGGGTTGATGGGCATTTAGGCTGCTTCCACAACTTGGATATTGAGAATTGGGCTGCAATAAACATTCTGATGCAAATGTTTTTGTTGTAAAATGATTTTGTTCATCTGGATAGATACCTAGTAATGATATTGCAGGGTCAAATGTTAGGTCAACTTTTAGTTCCATGAGAATTCCCCATACGTCTTTCCAAAATAGCTGTATTAGTTTGCGGTACCACCAACAGTGTAGAAGCGTTCCTTTCTGTCCACATTCATGCCAACATCTGCAGTTTTGGGATTTTGTGATGTGGGCTAATCTTACTGGAGGTAGGTGATATCTCAAAGTGGCTTTGATTTGCATTTCTCTGATGATTAAGGGTGATAAGCAGTTTTTCATGTTTGTAGGCCATGCACCTGTCATCTTCAGAGAAGCTTCTGTTCAAGTCTCTTTGCCCACAAAGAAATGAGTTTGCTTGTTCTTTTTTTATTGATTAGTTTGAGTTCTCTGTGGATTCTAATTATCACACCTTTGTCAGAAACATAACCTGCAAAAATCTTCTCCCATTCTGAAGGCTGTCTGTTTGCTTTACTTACGGTGTCTTTGGCAGTGCAGAAGCTTTTTAGCTTGATCAGATCTCAGTAATATATTTTTGGTGTTGCTTCAAGTGCCCTGGGGGTCCTCCTCATAAAATATTCTCCCAGGATGATTTCTTCAAGTGTTTAACCTGAAATCTCTTCTAGTATTTTTATAGTTTCATGTCTTAAATTTAAATATTTTATCCAGTGAGAATCAACTTTTGTTAGAGGTGAAAGTTGTGGGTCCAGTTTCAGTCTTCTATAGGTTGCCAGCCAGTTCACCCAACACCATTTGTTAAATAGGGAATCTTTCCCCTAATGAATGTTTTTATTAGGCTTATCAAAGATCAAATAAGGATAAGAGGCTGGGTTCATCTCTTGGTTCTCTATTCTGTTCCATATATCTATATCTCTATTTTTGTGTTAGTATCATGCTGTTTGATCACTATTGATTTATAGTACAGTGTGAAGTCTGGTAACATGATGCCTCCTGATTTGTTTTTATTTCTAAGTAATGTAGTGGCTATTTGAGGTTTTTTCTGATTCCATTTAAAATGAAGTACTACTTTTTCAAGCTTTTTAAAGCATGATATTTGTGCTTTTATAGGGATGGCATTAAATCTGTAGATTGCTTTGGGTAGTATGGACATTTTAACAATATTGATTCTTCCCAGCCATGAGCATGGCATGTTTTTCCATTTGTTAACATCTTCAGCTGTTTCTTTTCTCAAGGTTTCATAGTTCTCATTGTAGAGATCTTTCACTTTTTTTTTAAAGACAAATTCCCAAGTATTTCATCATTTTTGGCAGTACTGTAAAAGGAATAGAGTCCTTGACTATATTTTCAGTTTCTTATTGATTAGTTTTGAGTTCTCTGTGGATTCTAATTATCAGACCTTTGTCAGAAACATAACCTGCAAAAATCTACTACTACTGTTGGTATATATAAAAGCTATTTGTAAGTATTGATTTTGTATCCTGAGACACTGTTATATTCCTTGATCACGTCTAAGAATTTTGTAGTTGAGTCCCTTGGGGTTTCCAGTTTTAAAACCATGTCATCCGTGAAAAGTGAGAGTTTGACCTCTTCTGATCCTATTTAGATACACTTGATCCCCTTCTCTTGCCTGATTGCAATGGCTAGGACTTCCAGTACTATGTTGAATAGCAGTGGTGACAATGGGCAAAATAGTATGGAATGCTTCAGGAATTTGCATGTCATCCTTGCGCAGGGGCTGTGCTAATCTCCTCTGTATCGTTCCTATTAAAAGCTGTTTTTATGAAGTAAAATTGGAGATGACTTTCAGTAACTCAATGGGATGCAATGATTTGTTTTTCCCTTAAAACAAAACAAAATGAAACAAGAGCCAAAAACCCTTGTAAACATTTCAGGAAAACTTTTGCTAGATATTGAATTCTGAGGTTCAGAAGACCAACATGATACAAGTTCCCATTTGTTTGAATATATCTAGGGGATACCAAAATATACTGTGCCTCCCAGGGCCCAAGGTGCAGTTGACCTCCTAGCCCTTGGGCAGAATGCCTAGAAAGTGTCTAACTCTTTCTCTCTACCTTCAGACACCATGAAAAGAATTCTGTTTCTAACCAAATTTCACAGATCTATAGAACATCTTATTATAGAATTTGCTCTGTTAACCAGCGTTGCTAACAAGTGGAGGAATTCTGTCAACTGTAATTTTAATGCAGCTGTTTTCCCCCACGTAAGCCCATTTTGTCTTATTTTGACTCTGGTGTGAATTCAGAACACTTGACTAAGTTTGCCTGGTAAATACCTACATGGTCATACAAGAGAATCTGATTTCTGAGCTGTAACTGCCAATTTGCTGGATTTCTCTCCCTCTCAGTAAAGCCTATCCAATCCAACTGAAAAGTCTGACTCCTGCTTTAACTTTTTAAAAATGGTAATTAATTCGGTGTCTTAGGTGCTGTGATGTACCTCCTGAATGCTGTGCAATGTTGAGAGGTATAGAAAATACACCTTGTATAGAAAATACAAGTGTTGGTGTAACTAGTAGGTGTCAGTTAGTGTCAAACATGAATTTCCTAGTGTTGTAAAACAATATGCCACATCCCCAATTTTGAACCCCTGCCTCTCCAGGAGAATGCACTGAGAATCAGTTCTAAACATGCATCTGCTTTATCCACTGTCCTGCTATGTTAGAATTCCGTGAGCTATCATATCAAGAGGGAAATCACGAAATACATGCGAACTAGCCTGATAGTAATTCTAAATCCTTTGCTCTTAAAATAGTTATAAATATTATTATAGGTTATGCCATTTTAAGGAACATTTGAAAGAATTTTAAATTTTAATTGCTATATTGTTGCAGCTAAAATTCCAAAGTCTTGTATCTTCTATCATCATTCAGAGTCTCCAAGTAAAAAATGTTTTGAAGGCTTAAAGAAATAGAAACGACTATAACACCAAAGCAAAGTACACAGAAATATATGCTTCTGTTAGTTGAGTATAAACAGTTAAATATATTAGTTGTTAAACCAAACTTTATCATGGAATAAAAGGAGGCTATTATGGTGTTGATCATAGTTAAGGGTGCAATGGATAATTCAAAGTCAAGAAAAAAGAGAAAGATCAAGGAAAATGAAGGGCAATTTCCCCTCAAGACTTTATCCCACTGTGGCATTATTTTTCTAAAAGAAAATGATTAAAGACTCCTGGACACCAAATATATCCTTGCAAGATAAATCTGTCCTTGAAGGAACAGATTATAGGAAGAACATTGCCTCATCCACAAGCCAGAATATGAACTAGATGACCTCAGAGGGCTTTTCCATCTCCAATTTCCTGATACTTATGTTCATAAATTCTCCTGATGTTTAATTCTTTAAACTTTTGATACACCTTCTGAAAACTTCTATGGAAAAAAACCTAAATAGGATATGGCTTAATCACTGACAGTAGTGGGGGAAATCACGTTCATCTCGCTCAATTAAATAGATACAGTAATTATTCATTCTCTCATTCATTCAACAAATATTCTTTTTTTCCTACTATGTTCCAGGCCATATTCAATGAGCATGGAAGTTTAGCATCTTAACTCCTAACCACCTAGTGCCTTGGTTAAAAAAATATTAGATGTTATGTTTATACAACATTCTTTGGCCCATAGATGAACAAATCAGTGTTGTGTAAAATGGGAGGGTGACATGTGAGAGCAAGAATGAGATTGAGAACGACTCTTGATTTCCATGAGCAACAAGATAATTCTACACATGCTGCTGTCAGCTCCACTCTTTCCCTTTGGTTATCTTGTAGCTGCATTCTGTGAGGATATAGGGGGCAAGTGTGGGGAAAATGGGAGTTATTAGATATATTTAACATGTAGTAAAGGTACATAGCCCAAGATAACCACCACAAGACTAAAAGAAGAGTTTATTGATGACTTCTTTGCTGCAAGCAATGACCAACATGTTATTCTTTTGTTTAGCATGCACAATTGTTCAACATACAATAACCATTAGGGATCAAAAATATCAAATAATGACAAGATATACAAAATTGATCAGTCAGCCTTAAACAGAAAATAATCCCACAACTCTCTGCTTACTCAATTGCTCCCAGTGTGAGGAGGCACCAGTAAAATGTCTACATGTTGACTGATTTCATGAAACTTGATTTAAAGGGGATGATTTAATGTGAGGAAGAAGACTAAACACCAGTAGATGTATACCTGTGATTACTTTAAAAATTATTGATGAAGTTAAAACATACTTTGAAAGAAAATATCCTATAAGCATTGGTTTGGAATTTTTGTGGAGCACCTCTTAGCATCTTCTATAAAATGTTTTTTGCCACATGGCTACAAAGAGGAGGGTGAGGTCGAAGACTGGGAAAGCTTGAGCAAGGGTAAGACCGGAGAGGACATGGGGGGACACTGAAGGTGGAGCCCAAGCAGCATGGGGGAGGGGCAGGAAGCTGTGCTGGGCAGGTTGGTAGGGCCAGTTTGTGAAGGAATTCAATGACTCTGGCAAAAAAAAAAAAAAAAAAGTTAACTGTATTTTAGCTGTTTACATTTTCCTAGTTTTTTAAGAACTTCCCATATTTCATTACTAGTGAGCCATCTGTAAGACGCCATCAGATCAGCTAAAAAAAGCTACACTTAAGTCCTTATTATGTTCTAGACAAAGGGCTAGACAGTTTACATGTAACATCATGCTAATCTTCATGAACACTTTACAGAAGCAGTATTATTAAACAATCTTAGAGTTTAGAAAACTGAGGCTGAATCTGTGTGTGCAGGGAACCTCACTGGAAGTTCATTTTACTTTAACAATTGAGCTTTGTAATGGCATGTCCCCAAGTGTGCTCTTCAGAGGGAAAGACTCACCAAAAGGCATTCTATTGTCACATAAGTGGGAGACTGAACTGTACTACATCTTCCCTTCAAGACTCACGATGTATCTGTTATTAGAGTCCTTGTGATGTCTAAAAGAAGGAAATTTTTAAATTTTGGTTAGCTGAGTATTTCACAAACTTTAGTTGACTGTTAGGGATTCTTTTTTTCTGGTGAAACACTTAACATTCCAAGGAATACTCTGGGAAACTCTTCTTAGAGCATGCCAGGAGAACCCTGCTAATTGGAACTCATTGTATTTAGAATCACAGAAATATAAACCATATCGTATGCTCTTAAACTGATCTTGTCAGAGTGAAAGTTGTGACTCAGTGGGTTGTGAAATCAATTTGCCCTGTATTTGGAAAAAAATAGGAAAAAAATATCAGGGTTGTTGCATGCACTACAGGTAAGTACTAAATCATGAAACTTTTCTGGGTCACAGTGGATTATGCATTTTCTCTATGGTTATGGCCAAAAATTTCCCAAGTGGATGTTTCCCTGTAAGTCACATGAATGAATCGCTCTTTGTGCCAAGAGTTAGGTGATAACAAATGTCTGAATGTTGTAAAATTAATACAAAATGCACTACTGTGGCTAAATACATTATTAATTATAACTTTAAATCAGAGAATTTTAAAGCTGAAATACCTCATAGGGGAGAAACCAAAATAGCATTTTAGTGACTTGGTTGGGTCAGACCCTTGTGAGCTGGGCCTGAACACAGGTCTCCAGATCTTGTATTCTTTTGTCAGCGTGAACTGACATAATTTTTATTTATGGAATGTTTAGAGTTACTTCTTTTTAATGACTAAGAAAACTAGGTGAAAATTTCACCAACTAACTTCTGGACCACAAGTCAAAGACAGGTTACAAAAATACTACCGGCTTTAATTGAAAGAAAAAAGTAATTTAGAGATAACTTTAGGGCTGGGATGGAATTTTAATTTCAGCTAATACTGAACTAATTAACCTAATATCCTGAGTTATACTAGGTGGGGACATCTAGTTACCTGGTTTCTCATTTACATATGTAAACGTCTTGGCTGTAGGACTTTGAGATGACTCAGCAGACAAAATATCAGTGAACGCCAAACCTCGCAATGAGTAAGATAAAGGCTTAACCGTATCTCTACACTGCTTTACCTCGCTAGGAATAACTGACACGTCAAAATCATAGGAAACCTGTAATCCTAGCACTCTGGGAGGACGAGGTGGGTGGATTGACTGAGCTCACGGGTTTGAGACCAGCCTGAGCCAGAGCAAGACCGCGTCTCTAAAAATAGCGGGGCATTGTGGTGGGCGCCTATAGCCCCAGCTACTCGGGAGGCTGAGGCAAGAGAATCGCTTGAGCCCAAAAGTTGGGGGCTATAAGCTAGGTTGCCAGGGCACTCTACTGGGGTCGACATAGTGAGACTCTGTCTCGAAAAAAAAGAATAGTAATAGGAACTCCTCCAAACTCCCTTTCTTTTTACAGGAGGTATGACTTATGGAGGCATCTCATCGCAAACCAAATATTAGTTTCTCTTAATTTTAGGCAGGCCTCTTTAGGATCCTTTCCAGCTGAAGTCTTGAAGACTATGTCTGAATTTGTGCCTAATTATTCTTCTCATGGTCTGTTTTGGAAGGGGCCGTCAGATTGGCCCATAAAGGTAGGAGACAATGCCTTTTCCTCCTCTCTGCTCTGTGGGGAGCACATTAGGCTACTCCCGGGGGTGGGGTCGCATGCACTGGGATGCTGCACCCCCCGCAGGCTGGTGTCACTGTTCCCAGGAAGCTCCCGGGCCACAACAGCGGGCACAGGTCATTTGATAACTTCATCTTGGTGCCAGGAAGAGACTCAAGGCCTGTGTACTCTAGTGACAAACGGAAAATCCGCGTGAGTCAAAGAAGGGACATGGTATCTTTCAAAACTAATTAATATAAATGAATAAAGCATAAACGAGAGCTCGAAGAGCAAGACAACGGCCCCCACCCCCTAAAAAGAAAAAAAAACCCAAAACGTGGGAAGCAACCCCAGATCACCTCCTCAGGAAGACCCAGAGGTTCAGGGCTTCTCTCCCTGGCTGGGAGTGAGTGGAGGTTGTAGATGAATTTCCTACAGCCCAGGACCAGCCTGGGGCGCTCTCCTTCCTGTAAGTAACTCTACCCGGTTGTCCCCACAGGACCAGCTGCATCCAGAGACCCTCCCCTCTTCTCCCCTCCTCTCTCCACGTCTGCCCTCCTCTCCCCTCCCTTCCTCACCTCTCCCTTCCCCTCTTCTCTCTCCTCCTCAACCTTGCCTTCCCCTCCTCTCTCCTGTCCTCACCTCTTTCCCCAC